ACAAGTACTTACAGCTATGCGGTCCACACTGCACTTGCATTTGGGCTACGTTTTACCAGGTCCATCAATAAAGGTTTGAGATAGAGGCTCATTTCATGAGCAGACCTGGTTCCCTCCAGCACTGAGCCTGGTGAACACTCTTCCTTCCTCCAGCTGAGTAGCTCTTGGTGAGGCTGGAGCAAGCGAGGCCACAGGCCAACCACATCCTAGGGTCCTGGGCTTGGGAGTCTGGGACACAGCCAGCGACCACAGACCCTTCTTACCCTGGGTCCCAAATGGGGTGTCTCCATGAAGACCTCAGATGGGGTGAGGGGCCCAGTAGAGAGCAGAGGCCCCAGGCAGAGAGGAAGCACCATTTCCTGTGAGCCTGTGCAAGTTTCTCTGAAACCATTGAGATAAGTAGTTTCTCACAACATAGCTGCCTTCACTGCCTGGTTCTATTTCACAATCTAGAAGCAGGAACTGCCTAGAATCTAGAATCAAGCGACTGTCTCACAACTATTTCAGCCCATCCTGGCCCTTCCTCTTATATCACAGGAGGCGGGGCTTCACTCCTCTCACAGATCAGAGAGTGCAGGTTCTCCCAGACACATGTGGACAGAGCTGCCTGCTCAGGCCTCCAGGATGACCATCCCTGCCTCCTGGCCCCACCCTCCTCCTTGCCTGCTGCTGACTCTACTGCTGGGACTCACAGGTGAGCACTCCTTGGCTTAGAATTCCCTCTCCCTGCCTCTGAACCACATTCTCCCCCTGGAATTTTAGAGTTCCAGGAAAACAGGGGTGTGTCATTCAGGACTCCTACAGAAGGCCACGGACTAGGCATTATCTGAGAGCATGAAATCAGGGATGTGAGCATTGTCTCCATGACCTGCACTGGTTAACAGACGCATCAAAACAGATGATGCTTCAAGCCACAACAGCAACAGCTTTGTGTGGACTGGCTCATCTAATCCCCACAACATCCCTGTGTTATACTTCTGTCCATTATCCTCAATTTAAGGATGGAAAAACTGAGGCAGAGAGAGTAACTTGTCCAATGTCACCTATGTAAGGCACTGGCTCTGCCAGGTCAAGTCCAGCCTGACCAGCTCCACAGGTCATTTTTCAGCTGTTATATTACTCAACTTCTCAGTGCAGACTGAGTGCAGAAACATCAGAAAACACAGATAAACAAATAAAAGAATTGTCACCACCCATCAGGCCACTCACAGACACCAGAGTTCAAATTATGCTGTGTGTACTCATGATCTTTTATCAATGATGCATTGGATGGCTCCTATGAATCATTGTTTTTATGGAGCTTTTAATATGTATCATAATTTCATTTAATCCTTTTTTTTTTTTTAAGCTGAGCCATCCTGCTACCTGTTGGCAGCTCAGTGGCTGCTCAGCTCGGGCTGGACTCGAACCGCTGTT